CGCCAGTTTTATTCATTTTAAAACACAGCTTTCACAGATAATCAGAGAACAACCTGTTTTTTATATTACTGCAACTAAAATTTTTACCTTAAATCCAGTTTGTTCAACTGCTCAACAACGGGAGCAATATGTGACGGTTCTTCCAGTTCGGAAGATACTAGTGTTTTATGTTTACTAAATGCTAAAACTATAACAATTAATACGCCAATTCAAAACACCACGGCGGAAAAGTTACGAATTCGGTAATGAAGAAGAACTGGAAAGGAAAGAGTAAATACGAGTGAAGAAAAAAAAAAACAAATTTGGATCGCACAAGTAACAACGGCAGTAAAAAGAAAATAAAAGAAATAAATTTATAGAAAATAAAACAAAAGTCACTGATAGTAACAAAAAAGCTTCTAACGGTTTCCGATTAGAAAATCTACTCAGGGAACCTTGTTTTTGTGCGTGAATAACAACAGCGCCAAAAATATACTGTGACACCAACCAGTAGCAGCAGCAAGATCACCATCACCCCCGTCAAAAGCAGCAGAAACAACGGTACCACTACCTTTGCCGTTAAAAAAAAATCGTTTCTTCCTATTGCTGGCTTTATACCAAATAAAACCTTTGGTGGCAGTCGTTTTGATTTCAAATTTATGACTACCCCTAACTACAGAAGCCGCATAACGTTTTGAGTTGCCAAAAGATCTAGTTGCAGCTAAAAATTTTTCGATATATGTATCGTTTCTACTCCTTCACTGCTGCTCGTTGCTCCGCAGCCCTCAGCAGCTTATACTTTGATGTTATATACTGGAGAAGGGGAGGGGAGATTGTTCAAAATTTGTTTCTTTCCTTTGAATTTCTACACAGATTCACTGATCCTACATACTTTTTGATGTAATATATTTGCAGAACAATTAACCTTAGCTATTTCGTATTTGTGGCTTCAGCTGCTCATTTACTTTTGCCTATGTTTGTGTGCAGTAGTGTAAGTTATACATGTCTCTTCAGTCTGAGTCATAGTCTTTCTTTCTACTCCCCCCCCTTTAAGTCCCCTTTAATTTAAATAACACAGGAAAATAATTTTTTTTTCAATAATTTATTTTGTTTTTGTTAGGTAAAGATTTACTCTAATTTCTATGCTATACTTCTCTGCGATTTTTCCTTCTATTTCTCAGTTCCAGAAATTGTTCGGTAGGGATAATTGTCGTACAGACAGCTGGATATATATATATATATATATATATATATATATAGCTAATTTCTAAAAAAGAAGGTACAGTTGCTTTTTTGAATCACATTCACTTTTAAACTCCAGTGGAAAGGTTGCACATACGGGGTCATGTGATTGACCACCAAGTATATGTAAGAAGCAACATTTTATGGGAAGAGTAAAACATGATATTGAATGTTAAATGTGATTGGCAAAAAAAAAGGTTCATTTTTTTTTTCTTTTCCTGTTCAGATTTTGTGGAAATGTGGAGCCAGAAAATTTAAACAGTCTATATCGGAGTATGGGAAGAAAGAAATGATAAAAACGATCGGCATTTGTCTTCAAATTTAACAAGTTTTACTACTTCGTCGCTTATTTGGTGTAGGCGTTCGATAAGTTTCTTTTTGTAGTTACACTGATATACATACACAGATGTAGTTGTTTGCGTAAATTCTTGTTTTGGTTTTTTTGTTGTGTGTCTCTCTCTGTAGACCCTGCTGGGTAAAGTATTTAGCGTTGTTCAGTTAACCGAACGAAACAACGCAAGCGCTTTGAAAACGTTGGTCTATTTTTTTTTT